CTGCACACATAACTTACCCTGTACACACGGGCTAATTAGCAATTTTTTTGTTTCATTTTATGTAGCATCGAGTGTGGAAATCCTCCACGACCTGGAATGTAAAATTGCAAGGCTTGGAGTGCACGGCTTGGCCGGGAAAATGACCCTGAATTGTTGACCTTTGACCTCTAATATCTCAAAGGTGAAAGGTCATGAAGAAAAATGGACCTGACTGGCGAACTCAGGCTGCTGAATGATTCCTACACACAAGAAATCGTATTATTTGAACGAAAAATGACCGTGGTGACCCAAGGTGGCCCAGCGACCCACCGGTGGCAGGGCCACCAAACTCCGTCGTCCTGATGCCCCACCCCTAGGAAGCCTAAGTTTAAAGTTTCAGGGTCAGGGATCAAACCGTCTAGGAGGAGAAGCGACTACGCACAGACACTTACGCTCATTAGTAAGGTAGATACGGTTGAGAGGCACATTTCCCCGTGTTGCTAGGTGTAATAAAACTGACGCACATACTCAGATTATAAGCCCGATTTGTTTTTATTCACAAAGCCAAAATAACCCGCAGGGTTGGGTTAATTGGGTATACAGCCCACATTTATTTTAATCGGTAAAAGTTGAATAGGAAACGATACAAGCTGGGAATTTAACGCATCACAAATTATAGGTCACGGTAACAGTCAGAACTTTCTGCTTGCGCTTTCAGTGCCGCCGATCCTTTAGGTATTTTTTTTTTAATGAGGAGCCCGTATACACGGAATATTTCAAAATTGGTAACCGTCTCCTAGGAATTTTAGAATTTTAGACAGGAATTTTAGACGCTTTATTTGGTCAAAATTTAAGTCGGATATTTCACGACTGTCCATAGTCAAAGTCGAAGTAATGAAATTAATATTCTCCATTATTTTTGTTCCAAAAGTTTTCATTTGTAATGATTTGCCATTTTGGTATGGCAATACACATCAAGTTCATATTGCTCATATTGCATTATTGCAAGTACTGAAGTGAATTCAAAGGGAAAATTTGCAGAGGAAAATCCTCTCCACTCCTGCTACGAACACAAATGATAGCCAGACGAATGAGGGTGCTATCTCAGTGGGATTAGGCGCCTTCATTTCGCGTCAGGTTCACTTGAATGAGACAATGATGATGAACTCCTCAACTGTGCAGGGTCCAAATATGGAGACGAAGAAAGAGAAATTATTCCATGAGGAGTTGATAGAAAAGAGTGTTCCGATGGAGGGGAAGAACCCACCGACCTACCTTCTTCCTTTCCGGCCCATCACCGCAAGAGGAGATCGATACCGATTGGGCGAATATCAGGAAAGCGGACGATGCATGAACGTCCTCGTAATCGGCTTCACTGGATCAGGTCACTTCGAGTGTCGTGCGATGCCGTTGCTCTGATGAAAATGCGAGTCGTAAATTGAATTTCCCGGCATTCTCCTTGATTGTAGGGAAGTCGATGTTGGTGGAGGCGATGGGGAATTACGGGTTGGGGGTGGATTTCCGGGATCCCTATCGATTCCAGGTGAAAATGGAAGAACCCACAGAGAGAAGCATCTCCCACACCTTCTTCGCCAGAGACGCTCGAAGGTTCCCCCGTCCGGTCACTCTCATCGACACTCCGGGCTTCCCAAAGGGGACGGAGAAAATCTGCGTCTTCGTCCTCTCTAACTACCTGGACGTCCACGCCGTCGTTTACGTCATCCAAGGCTCCCAGGTTCTTTCTTCTCCCATCTTTCCGAGAACGACACGAACTCCATTACGGACAAGTATGATACATGGGTGGACAAGGAGGGAGGTCTTTCAGGACCTGACCCATCAACTTCTTTTAAAGGCCTCTCAGAGGCAATTGCCATCCATGGGATTCCTACAAATAATACCTCTCTGGAGACATATTGACATCCTGTGGCAATACTAACTGCTTGTATCGAAGGCGTAAAATGTAACACTTTCGCATCTCTTGGAAGTGATGAGTCTGTGTGAAGTCTCTTAGCGAATCCAGATTTAATGGATTCATGAGAATATCTTCAGTTGGTCCTGGCACATTCAAATGAGAATCCGGGGCGTTTAAAAGGCATCAGAATATTCAAAATACTGTAAATACAGTCGACCCCGCTTAATGGAATACACACGAGACCACCGAACTTTATTTTATAATCCGGAGAATTTCAATAGCCGAAACAATCGTACTGGATTTTTCTTCATACTTCAGGCAACGTTTATAATGAAGTATATACTGTGGTATACCCGTATTTGCGCATTCGTCACTCTTAAGAATGCGTTTTATGTATTACAATATTTTTCAAGCTTTTGTTTGATGATCTTTGAAATTCGTGACTGAGGGATCCTAAACTACCGAGCTAGTTCAGGTTGCGTCTTCTTTCCGACCTGATGAGCATTCAGCACTGCGATCTTTTCGGCCTTTCCTTTTCTCATGGGTCAACTTGGAATGAGCAGAACTGATGCCTACGGGGTCAATTCATAGTTCAGGTAAACTTTCTTTCCTTTTTGCCTAAAAAAAGGCAGACTACTTGCCACTTTTCCGCATCTGTGGCCTACACTTACGCCCCAATTTCTAGGAAAGGGTGTGCTTGCCTTCCCTCCTCCCCTCGCCCTCTACGAAGCGGAAGGGTGGGACTTGCTGAAGGGCAGGAGGAGACTTTCCAAGAACGCGAATGGGAAAAATAAGCATTTCTTTTTTACAGTGAACTGAAAGAAAGTATTCCGTGTTTCAGGAAAGTATATTTCTATGAGCGGGTTATTCTATCAATAATAGCCGTATTCATTAATGCTATGTTTTTCATAGTGTACCTTATGATGGAAAAATCGGGACCATACAATAGTATTCCATTAAGCGGTGCTCGATCATGTCTGTATGTATTTCTTTGCTCCCATGATTAAATCTTGAAACTAGCTTCGCATGTGGATCACTTTCCTCTGGGCCTAATCTTAATAGTTGCACTATGATGTGAGCTAAATGTAGTGAATGGACTCTGGCAATAATTGGAGTAACAAATCTCATATGGGCCATTGCAAGAACATTAACGCTAAATGGGTTCAATCAGATTTCTAAAACCATGGATTTCATGGTCGCAAAGGAAACTGCACAGAGGGAAGTCCAGGAACGTGAGTAACTTAAATCAGATTTCGAGACTGATTTAAGTCTTATCAGATAAGACTGAAGGATAATGTGGCTTCTGCAGGTTAAGAATAGTTTTTTTCTGATAATACAACAATCTTGTCCATGCAAGCAGGGTAGATTGACGGAGGAACAAAAAACAGCGCTGGAAAACGTGGCCAAAATCTTCGGAAATGAAACCGAGAAGATATCTTATCTGTTCTGCACATTCGCGGACAGCACGCACCTCCCCGTCCTCGAATCCGTGAAAGAGGCGGGGCTGAAATACAAGAGGCATTTCCCCGTGAACAGCTCTGCCTACTTCGCGAAGGAGGAGGAAGACGAAAAAGATGAGCAGGGAGAAGCGGCGAAGGGGGGGTCCATCAACGAGTTCCTGTCGAAGATGACGACGGAGAGCATTCGGAAATTCTTCAAGGATGTTCAGAAGAATGCCCCGATTCCGGTCCGAGAGCTGTTCGTGAAAGAAATGCACTCGACCACGGCCTCCATCGACAGATTTTCCTGGAAGGTGACGATGGATACCTTTCAAGAAGTCATCGACAACATCCAGGAGAATCGACCCGTTCGGGCTCGTAGTCTGCTTAACTTATTACAAAAGAAAGAAGAAGAAAGAAAGAAAGAGGAGGAGGAGGAGGAGGAGGAGAGACCCAGAGGAGACATAGGTAAGCCAAGTCCACCCAGAACCCCGACTGCCTTGCGTGTCTCTGATCCCGTACAATGAGTGGTTACCCCTTCAGTCGAGGAAGGAGAGCCGCCGCGTCCGGGGACGGAGAACGGCGAGGCATCCCTTCGACTCCCTGGCGAGGCCTCCGTTCAGCCCGATGGAAACCTACCGAGCTTGCCCTTCATCGCGTGGGTATTCACTCCGCTCCGGATATTCTCTTCTGTACTTTTAGCCCTCGTGCCGTTCGTATACAGTACCAGAACGATCGTGTACTTGCACGATCATTGTATTTTATGTCGTCTTCCAGCTCCAACCGGCAAGGGAAGCGTACACAATTTGGGCTGCTTATCTACGATTTACGTACTATTTAATGGACGTAGTAGTTCCTTTACAGCGCCAAGTGCTAGGTAGTTCGGTGATACTTCAGCTCGGATAAGAACGATAAGAAAAACGTGGAGAGTCGCGTTGTCACCTGAGTCTGCTCCATGTTTCAAAGATCTTTGGTGGTCGATGGCATGCGCGCGCACGCATGAAACACACGTACGCACAGCGCGATGGCGTGTGCTCTCCTCTGCCTTCACGATTAACGAAGTGCAGGGGCAGACCTTCGAGAAATATTGCGTTTTTTTGCCGCGCCCTGTCTTCTCACATGGCTACCTAATTGTGGATCCAAGGAGCCGGGTTGGCGACTGATGGGGGGGGGGGGGACCTATCGCCATGTCCGCATTCATTGTCTTTCAATTATTTCGTGTTTTTGCAAGACTAGTCCCTTTTCAGTACAAGACCTGCAATGAAATTGATGCCAAAGTTTCCCTTTCCTCAGAAGTGCAGTCATCACATATCCATCATTGAATCAAGTTTCCCTTTCCAAATAAAGAATAAAACCAAGCGGTGTAGGCAAGGGAAAGAGGGGCCCTCACGGATCCCGAGCCCCAAGGCTGTCTGGTCCCTTTTGGTTCCCATCTCTCACGTTCTCTGTGACCCCGTCTCATTCCCCTTCTTACTGGGACACGAATTCGATCATAGGAGAGTCGTGTCTAGCTCAGCTTCAAATGGGGCGAAGTATTCCGGGCGGTTTCGCTTATTCAGTCCGGGATACCCCATTACTCAGTTTTTTCATTTTTAATGCAATCATGTTGTACTGTTTGAATTACAGGATGGATGTTTTGCCGAACAAGAAGGTCGAAGAAGTTTAATTACTTATGCGTATTTATTGTGTTTTTGACGCAGTAAAGACACATTCTCGAAAGATTGTTCGGGTTGTGATCATGCTGGTTTTTCTCAGCTCGATATTTTGCTTCGTTTTCATCATCTTCCGTTGCGATCGCCCGATCGAATCGCCTGGAGGATTTGGCAGGTTCAACTCTGGGGATCCGTTTCACGAGAGAGTCCATGAGAAACGAAAGAGCCAAGAGCAAAAGGTGATTTGACGCTCTTGCGAGCGAGAGTACCTCGAGAGCACCTCGAGAGCACCTCACACCCAGTCGCTCGCAATCCGCCCAGCTGGCACGAGCCTCCATGATGGCCGCCCGAGATCTCGCCCTGCGCTTCGCGCAAAGGAAGAAAATTCGGCATTCCCGCTCTCGTGGTTCTAGACGAAGTGCGGCGCCGTTCGGGAAGCGTTGCGTTTACGTACTTCGGAGGACTTGCGGACTTGAGAGGCTAGTCGAATTTGTCCGCCTTAACGATCCGCAGGGTTTGTCGAAATCTAACCGAAAGACCGCTCACTTTTCTTTTGCTCTCTCGGAAAATAAAGAGGCGCTCAGTGTACCTCAGTGGATCTCATCTTTTTCGGGTATTTCCTTTTTTGTACTCGAGGATTCATTCAACTGCTCGGACTGAGAGACCCAATTTATTTTTTGCTCGAGCATCACGTGAAGATGTACTTGGAATGCCTCATAAATCAATCGCCAAATTTATTCAGAATTTGCATGTAGAAAAAGCTGAATCCTTGAAAAAAAAAAGCAAGTCTCGAGTTTCCATACATATTGTTTCTGAACATTTCCGGAAATATAACTGCCGCAACAGTGATGAAGACGGAACCACTTTGCGTCTGAAAGGCACAAGTTCTCCTTCTTTCTCCATGAATGGTATGAAACGCATGGGAATTTTCCAGGCATTACATTATTTCACTTATGGAAATAGCAGACTTCTTTGAGCGGAAACAAACACGTGGTTGCGAAACTGCAGGCAATGAAGTGGTTTCTTTTTCTTTTTCTTATTTAAGTTTCCTTTCGTTATAAATAATCGATTGAAAAGAAAGAGGTTGCTCATCGAGATCATGTAGCTCACAGTTGCTCAGCCAGGCGAGGCGGGCATCAACATGAAAAAAGGCTCAACGACCATGAACTTGCAGGAGATAAACAAAGGAATGATTGTATTCTGTGCACTTGGCAGGGATCCAATGACGGAGGAGAGAGAAGAAAAAGGATTGCATGAGGAGATGATAGAGAGGAGCGTCGAGATCCAAGGATGTCATCTCCCGAATTACCTTCTTCCATTCGAGCCGATAACGGCTAATCAATACCGACTGGGGGTGGATCTGCACGGCGGGCGATGTCTCAATGTTCTGGTCCTCGGCTTCGTTGGATCAGGTCGCCTCTCGAATCGCACTTACGACTTTCCCATCGACAATGTGTTACATGACTGGAAAAATTATTGGAACCCTCTTAATTGTAGGAAAATCGATGCTGGTGGAGGTGATGGGGAATTATGGGTTGGGAGTGAATTTCCGGGATCCCTATCGATTCCGGGTGAAGGAAGAAAGACCGACAAGTGAAATAATTTCCCATACATTTTTCACCAGAGACGACCTGAGGTTCCCCCATGCTGTTACCCTCATAGACACCCCGGGCTTCCTCGAGTGGGAAACCGAGGTGACCCAGAAGTTGGCGGAAGAAATCCGCTCATTCCTCCGCGTGAACCGACTGGGCATTCACGCCATCGTTTATGTTATTCCATGCTCTCAGGTTGCTTCTTCTTTCCTCATCTCGAGAACCCTTCCAAAACGTCCACCTTCCATGTGGATTCGGAACCAGGTGGATGTCCCCCTAGGCGTATTTCCACCGGTTGGAGCGATGTCCACCCGGGGGAAAATTCACACGGGAAGGAAAATGATATCTTTTGATATCACTAACTCTCTTGACTCTTGAAAATGCACCGGGCTCGAAATACATGTGCGGGAATAGGGAAGGTGGGATTCCAAACTGGGCGGGTCGTACACCTGGTTTCATATCCACCACTTATCCACCTGGTTATTCAGCCAGGTGGATGCAGGCGGACGTTTCTTTGTTTTGTTTGGGAAAGAATTCAGATCATCCTGAATAACTTCATACTGTCAGAAACTGTTACCGTTATCAACTTCATTAACTTATGTGCTACGTCCATGTTGATGATAGTAGCCTTACTACTTTACCTCATGGGATTCTCCGAAATAGCAGAACCACTGACAGAAAACATCCTCTTTCCTTGGTGCGTTAATCAATTTGTGTGTCCTTGGCTGAGATCTCAGCCAAGACTCAGGAGCCAGAGATCGTTTCAAGTCCACGTGTGAACCAACCCGACCCACATTTTGAGAAGAGAGGCGTCTGCTCGTGATGACGTCAGCATGAACTTAGCCGATGATACGATGATTTGGTTATCTCAGTTGAAATTCCTGTCAAAACTGGTTCTTAAGCCCTTTAATTACTAAAACACCTTAGGCACGGGGAATAGAATACGTTATAAGCCGAAAAAGAACATTTAAGGACTTTGTGGCACACTTTTGAGATCGGAAACTCTGACCCCTATGGTTTTTAACAATTGCCAACAGTTTATTCCGAAGTTAAGATCCTTGACACATAAGTTGCCTTAAATTATGTTTGTCCTATTTGGCATGAAAATGTGCTTTAATTAAAATAAGCACGTTACAATAACTTCCGAAATCACATATTTTTTCCAGCGATGCTTTTCTCCCGATATTATATCCGTCTCATTTGTTTGAACAGAAGAGTTTGACGATGGAATATAAGATGGCACTTCGGTACATGGCCGAAGTCTTCGAAGATCAGGATGAGAGAATCCATGAGATCTCCTATGTCTTCGTCACATTCCCGGACGGGAAACTCCATTCCATCCTGGAATCCGTGAAAGAAGCGGGTGTGAGATACAGAAGGCATTTCCCCATCGACAGTTCCTCTTACTTCGTCAAGGAGGGGGAGAACGGAAACGGAACGGCGTCTTCCAGCGAAGAGGACGAGGAAAAAGAGAAAGGAGTGAGAAGAGAGTCCATCAACGAATTGCTGTTTAACATCACAACAAAAAATATTCGAAAATTCCTAAAGGAAATTCAAAGGAATCGGCCCATTCAATTCTCGGGATCTCCAAACATCAGGAGAAAAGGAAAAGGGAATCACGAAGATGTGGAAGCAGGAAATCCGTCCAAATATCTGGGTTAGTCGCAAGGATCCCTATTTCCCCTCTCTTCTACAGGGCGGGCAAAGAAAGTTCTCTCTTTCATTGCTCGTCCTAATTTTGACAAGCTCTTTAAATTTCTTATTGAGCACCATGCTACCTGGATCAAATCCAATAAGTTCAATAAAATACATATAGTTATTTTATAATTTTTTATGGAGCGAGCTAAAAATTGCGTGCTCATTACTTTACATAAATGTTACGATATGCAGGGCAGTGGCTCGAGGAGATGGAGTAGTGGTGATAATTATGGGTCATTTCTGATCTAACTCTATTCATGGTTGTTATCGACGCTTTTTATGAAAGTTAATTTTAAAATTTTTATTTTCTTTAAAATGAAATTGGGAACAAGGGATTGTCATCTCTGCATGCAAAGGGGAAAATACTGAAAAAGCTGATTTTCACATCGCGCAGTAAAAAATGTTCCTTGTAAAATCTATTTCTGGCACTTCCTTGAAAAAAAAAAGCTTATAATAGGAACTAGCTTTACCGTTTATCCTCTAGCAAGAGTGGATATTTTTTTCACTCTACAGAAAGGTTTTGACTTTTCCCATTCACATTTTCCTTTCACTGCCATGATTTTTGCTGGGATGGAGTGCAGAAGAATTGGACGCCGTGCTGGACACTGCTGGTTCCGAGTGGGTCTTAAGGCGACGAAGCGGAAGTTTTACGAAAGAGACAGGCTCTTGGTAAGTTTTCACATCAATTGAATAATTATGTTCTTTTTCAAATCCCGTATTCTCTGTGGTACTTCATTTTGAGTGCAAGTGAGAATCTTAAATGCGTAAATTCGAAATATAATCACGTCCCAAGTAGTGCACTCTCGGTGAATCAACATTAATTCAATGTTTAATGTCAACGCAGCTGATGTTAAAACAACCTTGGTCTGTCAGCATTGATTTAATGTTTGACAGCAACATTGCGACGTTCTTCAACGTTAAAGCAACGTTAAATCAAGGATAGTTCAATGAACTATCCTTGATTTGATTGAAATGAAACAGGACTCAACAGATTGTTTTAATCGTGCGCATGTGCTATTTTATTGCTGAAGTACTATGCGATTATCATATGTATACTACGAGGGCCACTTAAAAAGGTATCTACCCGAGTATGAAAGAGGAGGGGTAAAAACTTTTTCTTACCAGCGTTAGATACATTGGCTTATAAGTATTACTGGGAGGGAGTAACAGGTCAGTGGCGTTTTTGCTATGTAGTTGAGAGCACACTGAAAATTGTTGAAATGGACAAGACGAAGCTGGAGTATCGAGCTATTATGAAGTTCCTCACAAAATAAGGGATTTCACCCAAAGAAGTCTTTGAGCGTTTGAGAAACGTGTATGGCGAAGGTTCTCCTTCCTATTACTGAGTAAAATTTTAATGAAAACAGTTCAAGTGGGGGAGGGAGTCTTTAGAGGATGACCCTCGATCAGGTCGCCCAGCATTCTTGGAACCCATCTTGAACTTTTTCATGCCCAGCTTTTCGTGGAGAATATGCAGCACTCTTTATTCTGAGAGTCCACACCCTCTTGACAGTGGCGACACCTTCGCACGTCGGTTCTCCATCACTAAACACTCGACTTTCTCGCACATTTCGTCATTTGAAGCTTCTGCTGGGCGACCTGATCGGGGGTCATCCTCTAAAGACTCCCTCTCCCACTTGACCTGTTCGCATTAAAATTTTACTTAGTAATAGGAAGGAGAACCTTCGCCATACACGTTTCTCAAACGCTCAAAGACTTCTTTGGGTGAAATCCCTTATTTTGTGAGGAACTTCATAATAGCTCGATACTCCAGCTTCGTCTTGTCCATTTCAACAATTTTCAATGTGCTCTCAACTACATAGCCGAAACGCCACTGACCTGCTACTCCCTCTAAGTAATACTTATAAGCCAATGTATCTAACGCTGGTAAGAAAAAGTTTTTACCCCTCCTCTCTCATACTCGGGTAGATAACTTTTCAAGTGGCCCTCGTATCTCAACCCTCCGAAGTCATTTTTCAAGAACCTCTTGCCAAGTCCCACATGAACTCTGCCGAGATAAGTGAGTAAAATCCCCGGTCCAACGGAAGCAATGGACATTGGGATGATTAAAACTAATTAATAGAAGAGTAATATTCACCCCACGTATCCTTCCGCGCGAGCTGCAGGATCAGGATTGCGATTTTTCTTGTGAGTCGAGGCGGATGGACTTAATAGGATGACATGACCGCGTTATCATTCTTGTCTGGAATACCCTGTTGAGAATCACCCTGATTTTTGTTGGGTTGGGTTGCTTCTTTCGTCGAATATATCCAGGAAGTCAAATACCTTCCCCGGCGTTGTCTGCAGAAAAAATAGCAAGTACCGTTTCAAAATTACTGGGGATGCATGCCGATTGCATGTAGGCGATAGCTCGCTGTGTTGGGTATTCGTCACCACCTCACTTCGGGGTCATGGAATCTTGTTTTCTCGAATTTCTCGCAAGATGTCTCGCCCGGCACCTGTTGATGTAACGCTGACCGGAAAATGTCCATGTAATAATGCTTTTATCTTTTTATCTTCTATCCTTTCCATTCTCATAGAATAGAAAATAGTTTTATTTTCTATTCATTCGTCTCTGCTCTGTTTCGTGTTGAACAGGCTTTGGAAGATGCTTTTATTCGGTGCTGGATTGATCACCCTCGGCGTCGGCGCATATCTTCTCGTCTGGAAGTTCGCTGGAACTAATCGTAAAAATTGAACACTTGGTTATCTCGACCATCACTTCCAATATATTCTTCGATTGATTTATTGATTACGAGTCCTGCGAACATCATATTCAAATATTGAAGGAATAAATGAAGGCCTAAAATGTGGCAGAACCTTATTGAGTTTGAATGCACTAATATATGGAGTGATCATACTCTCTCATGAATGAAGAAGAATTTAAAAAAATGTTATATGGAGATTAGTGAAGAATTATCGACTCACTCATTTCAGGCATGAATTATATTTCAAACAACAGCTCCAATATTATTAATATTCACCAAACAAGAACCAAGGAGGGATATACATCGTCTCCATGATGACTCTGACTCTTGAGATTGGCAAAATTTGGAAGGGGGAAATCTGTTTCATTGGTATTACTTGGAGGCAAAACTAGACACTTCAATAGACGGTGGGGAAGGAAGGAGAACACGAAGTAGAGCTGGGACTAACAAGAATTTCATTAGGATTAGCATGGACTGATGAGATTAACAAGGTTAGAGCTGAAAAGGGCATATGCCGGAGTGCGTGGACGTGAAGCAGAACACCCAAGTCGAAGGAAGGAAGGATTTGAAAAGGACCAGGTGAGCCATATTCTATTCCAATGTGGTCCATAACACCTTTGGCATTCATTCACTGCATGATCACTGCTTAAGCACCACCTAGGGCGTGACTCTGGTTGGAGATTAGTTCCTCTCTACCTTCCCGTATCCATAGCAGCTGATTTCGGCCCAGTGATCCCCCCAAAAAAGTTTGACAGTATGCTAAGAATAAGACTTCATCCTTAGTGGGTTCTGACTCTCTATCATGCCATCAAGTCCTTTCTTTTCTCCTCAAAACTACTGGAATCCTTAATGTATGGTCACCAATGAGAATATCAATTTTCACGGACCATAGCTGGTCTGCCGCAAGGGAAGATAGATACGCCTTTATCAGGAGTCACTCTGTTGTGGAGGGAACTACAGGAAAGAAGATAAGCCGCGGAAGAGATTTAGTCCCTTACGCACAAGTGCATTGCCTGGGTGCTTGAATACAGTCCACTTCCTAGCCTAGTTCCATCCATAAGAAGACTCCTCTCTTCCTGAAGGTATGCAGTAATGTGAAAACCAATTTTCATAGGTTTCCCCTTCCTTCAAACCCCCCCCCCACCTTCCCCCCTTCTCTACAACACTCACTAACATTAGTCTGAGGCCTAACCGACAGGCTGTGTTCGGGTCAGGGTTAGACCTAACTTTTTTATTCAAAATAAACTCAATCCTCGACCTACGGACCAATTAGGACTATAAGGATTAATCCCTGGTCTTCGAGACTCCTCGTTGAGAACTTGTAACGTTAGACCAATCACAGGCCTATTCAGTCTCTCATGGCCCATTTAACAAAGAACGTGTAACGTTAGACCGATTGTAGACCTTTTTCGAGTTTCATAAACCACTTCAATGTGGTCAGGGAAAATTAGACTAATCCAGATCTTTTCGAACCGTCTCAACTCGTTCCGAGAAGAAAATGCTTTTAGAAAGCATGACATACAAGCTGGCCGTCATGTTAATTTAGGGATGTCCGGATGAGATATCTCCGTATTCCGCCAAATCGATCTGCACAAACCACCGTTTTAATCTCATCTCATAACATGAATTCAGTACAATAATGGTTCCTAAATTAAAAGGAGAAGATCCAGACAACTATACTAAGGTCAAATAAGTTATGAATCTGACGTAACTCCGACATGATATCCGGCAACTCTGGGGGAATGAGATCGGAGCTCTAAACCTAAATGAATGACAGCTAATTTAATTTTTATGGCAAATTTGTGCATCGCAAACAAAAAGGGCAATTTTCGTCATCTACAGGTCATTATCTTTCTCATGGTTGGTATGTTTCTTCCGAAAGCACCCTAGGAGTGGAAAGGGGGGTGGAAGAAAGAAATGAAATTCACATATTCCAAAAACGAGATTCGGTGATCTCCACAATCCCCAGGGAGATGGAGCTTCAAATTTGCTGGAGCAATTCTGCGTTGTGAGACAAAAACCACGCCAAATTTCGTTCATGTTGGTACTCTCAGAGAGGAATACGAAGAGATAGAATTTTGCTGCGGGAAGGTGTTGAAGAAAGGTAATACGCGCTACAGCGCCTGTTGATGTATTTCGAGGAATTTATGAATTTCTACTGCTAAATTTAATGAGTTGGAAACTAATAACTCGAAACCAAGCATTACAGAGCGTAGAGAAAATCATAAAAAAACCATCTTGGGAAGAAGTGGAAATTGTATCCTGTTTAATGAGGATAGGACAGAAATGAAGCAGTCAGCTGTTTGTTTAAGAGAGTTATAACCAGACATATAAATGATATCCACTTGCCTCTCTTCTGAAGTTTACTCAAGACAATTGCTCCTGTTAAGCATTGGTAATTTTGCTCAGTAAATTCAGCAGACACCCTATAAAGGAATATTCCACTGCAATACAGTACTTACTTCCATTGTCGTGAAAGTTGGAATCAGCGAACGCAATGCTTCTACACTGTTTCGATGAGTTTGTTATGTGAAATGTTGCTTCCTGTATATTATAACACGACACTGCAATAGGGTTAACTTCGATTTATATGGTAACGCATGAGTCATTTCATGTCATGTGGTCAGAAGTTGGTTGCACCTCGGTCTGAGGTTTCACTGTATGAAATCATGGCTTTTGAGGATTCTCATATCGTAGCGGCAATTTGTTATCGTAACGGACAGATGCGTTAGGAACCTTGTGAATATTATTTTTCGACTCTCTAAGTCCAATTGTCTCCGATACACGCTCTCCTGGAATATTGGAAGGGATGGTTGAAATGATTCCACTGACGGAATCGGCATCTAGCAAAAAACCCAATCAAGCAATCTGGTTAATATGACATGCCAATATTACAATTATGTGATCATAAATTATTTCATGAATGATAGGAATCGTGAAATGAATTATCTGAATTCGTGCCAAGTTCATGTCAAAATTCGTTTCGTAGCAAGATATGGTAAATCGGAACGAAAGGCTGCATGCTGTGCGAAAATCGTTTCTTTTTCTTTTACTTTTGTCTGGAAGAAAATAACATAGAAAGATCAACTTCTCAATTGTGCACTTTCAAGTGATCCAAAGATGGCGAAGACAGAAAAAGAAAGTTTACACGAGGAGTTGAAGAGAAGAAGCAAAGCCATCCAAAAGGAGAACAGCACGTTCTACTGTCTTCCATTCCACTCATACACAGATCGACACCTGTTGGGGGAAAATAAGCAAGACGAAGAATGCATGAATATCCTCTTTCTCGGGTTGACTGGATCAGGTTCTCTATCCATTTCATTTAATCAAATATCCCGTTAGGAAAACGAAAGATGTGATTTTGGAATTATTTTCCTCTATTTGATAACAGGGAAATCCATGATGGTGGAGGTAATGGGGAATTACGGACTGGGAGTGGATTTTGAAGATCATTACCGATTCCAGTTGAAGGAGGACGGGCCCACAACGAGGATCACCTCCCATACTTTTTTCACCAGGAACTTCGGAAGATTCCGTCGTCCCGTGACTCTCATTGATACACCAGGCTTTCAAAAGGGGACGCCCCAGCAGGACCAGGAATTGACGAAAGACATCCAAGAATACATAAAATTGAATCACCCAGAAGGCATCCATGCCATTGCCTACATCATCCCAGGCTCTCAGGTTGCTTCTTCCTTCTCCCCTTTACATTGAAATGCTCGCTATTCTAAACTATTTGAAACTCCTGGGGCTAGGTTGAGACTGTTTCGCTTGAAATTCAGTTAACCCTTTCCAGTCCTATGACGTCATCCGCCGTGGGCAGTATTTAAAATAGCTGTATTTAATATACGTCTTTCAATACATTTCAGGCATTTTGCTTTTTGTACTTAAATACTCAATCACTTGTATTTTTCCCAGCCTTGGACGCCAGATAGCATTGCTACCTTTATGGAATTTTCCAGAACGTTTTAGCTGAAGGATTTCCTTCAGAGTTAGGAAGCTTGTTCTCATTGGATGTTTTCTTTAACATTAGGACCGATGGAAGTAATTTCAAGTGTTCCTCATTCATTGTAATAGGGGAGCAGCGTAGACCGAAAATGTTGAATTTTAATTCACCCCCGGTACAGAAATGTGTGACATGCATCAACTTACAACCTACTGATTAAGTTTCGGCCTGTCGTCCTAATGTCCGAATGTGGTGATGTATGATGGCGGTCGAATTTAGATGTGGCTGTTTCTGCCTGAACATTGAAATAGCGATTAACCTATTGTCTCATGACGGTGTGTCTGTTGTCTAAATACGTGGGTTGTTCGAAAAGTTCTCTATATTGATTTTTAAAATGAGTTACACTCGATGAATCTTTACTAAACTTCGGTTAAGACTGGTTATATCTAATAGCATTCACTGTGCGAAGTTTGGTATATATTTATCTAAATTTACAATCGCTGCCAGATATTGCATACAGTTGCTATGAACACCTCCGTCGTGCAAGAATTATTCTCGGAACATCGCATTCGAGTCATCATCCAGTTGCATGTTCTGCTCAACGGCACACCGACAAAAATCCATCAACTGATGTCGATGTCTTTGGGCCAACACTGTCCAGCTGATGAGACGACCCGGAAGTTGTCAAAGCTCTTCCTGGAGGGAAAGACGGACCTTGATGAGCCATGACGTGGCCAGAGGAAGACCAGAGGAAGAAGACCCACTTTGCTGCTACCTTCTTCTTTCCCAGCTCTTCAGTGACGATGCAACGAGTGGAATCGGGTGAGACGTCCAGCTCATAAGCTTTTGGTCTGGTGGTGATTCGGCGGTCTTCTTGAAGGAGGTCGGCGACTTGCTGGACTTTTTACTGGTGATGAAGGAGAAACTGGTCGCCCACTACGTGGCTCATCTTCAAGGTCCGTCTTCCCCTCCAGGAAGAGCTTTGACAACTTCCGGATCGTCTAGTCAGCTGTACAATGTTAGCCAAAACCCATCGACATCAGTTAATGGATTTCTGTCGGTTTGTTGTTGAGCAGAACATGGAACTCGATGATGACTCGAATGTGATGTTTCAAGAATGATTCTTGGACGACGGAGGTGTTCATCGTGACTGTATGCAATATCTGGCAGCAAGTGTAAATCGGGATAAATTTATACCATACTTCGCACAGTGAATGCTATTAGATATAACCAGTCCTCACCGAAATGTAATAAAGATTCATCGAGTGTAACTCATGTTAAAAATCCATTTAGAGAACTTTTCGGACAACCCTCGTAGGGGCATTATAGATCAAGGAACCTAATTTTGATAGGTAAACTTTGATTGATCGTATCAAATTTCATGACTAGTAAATTTGGGAATGGTCCTCCTGTCTCCAGAATGCCATGAGACGAACTCTGTGTTTGGTGCCTAAATGAGGGTATGTTGTGTCAAAGATTTTAGTTCTTACACAAAAAGTACTTAATTATGCAACAATTCCCAATATAGCAGCATATTTTCACGTCGTGGATGCCATAGCACTGTTTCCTTTTTAAGTTTCATGGCGTGTTCAAACACCTGTATCTTGAATACTATTTATCGTAGAGAGATAACATTTGGTGGTCACACCCTTGAGAACATTAGGAATATGATTATTTGGTCAAAGATAATATCTATCTGCTCAATATGACCATCATTCAGGTCCACTTTCGGCTTGCAGTCAGGTGATGACATAGAAAGCTGAATGAAGCTGTCCAGATGTCAACATGGGCGATATGATGTCGGATGGTATCTCTCAAATCAGTTAAGGTAGCAGGTGTTGTACGACACACAATTAACTTGAGTTAAAGCAATAACCATTAATTAAGTGGAGTTAGATCTGGAGATCGAAGTGGCTCTGTATGGGGAAAGTGTATGCTAATGATGCGGTCACCTAAAGCACTCATAAGCAGTCCTTTCAAAGCTCGGGCAGTGTCTGGCGGTAGGCCCGGCCTTATAGTACCAGACATGTAATAGCCTATGCAAATGTAGTAATTAGTGGAGCTCTCTAGTGGACATTATTTTTAACCACAGAGACATGTTCCCCTTGGTCTTAAAGGGGTGTTCACAAAATTTGTTTGCTGTACGATGAATAGTATTCAAAAAGAAAGTGCTTGAACAAGCCAAAAAACGTTAAAAGAAATCAGTACTATCAAAATTGGTATCCGCGAGTTGAAAATATGTTGTCATATTGGGGATTGTTGCAGTATAATGTACTTTGAATATAACAACTAAATTCTTCGACACGATATACCCTCATTTTGGCACTAGACACACCATTGCGTGACTACTGAGTTTCTTTCTCATGGCGTTTTGGAGACAAGTGTGGTGGCCATTTCCAAATTTACTCCTTACGTAATTTTGCACGTTCAAGGAAAGTTTACCTATCAAAACTAGGTTTCTTGACCTAAAATGTTCCTATTTAAACACCGGACGCACCGTCATGTGACAATCACTATTTCAATGTTCAGGCGGGAGCAGCATTTTTTAATTCGAACGCCATCTTGCCTCCGCACACTCGGAATTTAGGACGATATGCCGAAACTTGATCAGTGGGTCATAAGCTTCCAGTTGACGCATGTCGAGCATTTCTGTACGTCGGGTGAATTAAACTGCAGACACATGGTCATTTTCTGAGGTTCACCGCTCCCCTGTAGGTTCTTAACGCTTAATTGCTATTCACATGGATGGTTAGTTACTTTTCCTCATATAAAATAAGAACGGGAAAAGGAAAGCATTCCTCAAACTCTGGAGTCTATGGTTAGGCTTTGATGCATGAGTATTCAGGTAGTTATTGTTAGCGTGTGTAAGAGGAACGTGTGTACAGTAACTCTAAGACAATAAGAAAAACTGCCCGAAAAATGTATTAAAACCGTTTCAGTTGAAGGTAGGACACGAAGTGGAAGAACAACACCCGGAACTCCTAGAAAAGGTGGCAAGGACCCACGGAGTGGCCTACCAGAAATCTAGATTTGGCCTTTGTGACTTTTTCTTATGGGAATGAGCCAAAGTGTGTGCAACAAACTCAAGGAATTTCAAACAATTGCAGTAAAAGATATGTGAAGTATTCAATAACGTCCTGAAGGAGTTCCTCTTGCACTCCGTTGAGAATGTGACGTTGCATTTGAGAAAATGTGTGGAAAATGCAGGACGTGATGTCGAAATTTAATGGCATTCATTTATCTCTAAATGCCATGATAATTTATCATCCATATTTGAACAGAAATCATACTCAAGGAGATTTTCACAACGAGATACCTGAAAGATCATGGAATTGAACCTTATATGCCAATTTCGTCCATCACGTCTAAGATTGATTTTCTTTTCAATGAAAGAAGGTTGGCCTAGGCCTAACATTAATGGATTACGTAGAGCGGGGGGGAAGGGGGGGATTGAGGTTGAGGATGAAGAAAAGGAAACCCTTTGAAACATGTTATAGTTTGTATAAAGTGATATAACAATCATGGTATTAACATGGGAAAATGTTTAACAATAATTTGTTATTCACTCTTTTCTTCTGAATTTTCCCTTCTCTTAAGGAGACATTGGTTCTGCAGTACTACAGTAATATCTTCTCGTGACCACATAATCGCGAACAGGCAACACAACAAACAAATTTCTTCATTCAGCAAAGTCTAGGTCCGATTTATTTATATCGATCAACTTAAACCGGTCGGGTGTCACTGACCTAGTGACGATGTTCGATACGATATAGCCGGACAATGGCGAGTCCATGTTGAAAGCAAAATAAGATACAAATGATCCATCAAGACACAATCAAAAGTATGAGAATTGCAACGTAGAACATAGCTCTATATCTCGATGAAACACAAATGTTTCAAATGGTACCAAGTGGGGCTATTCCTTACAAAATGCTAAATGATGCCATATTGCATCACTTCTCATTTCCTAGCTATGGCAATACTGACTAACGTAACCTGACTCCTTTGACACATTTAACCAATATTCAGGCGTTTTCCTATTTTTTTATGCAAGAAACATTTGGGCTGGAAAGGATTAAAAGGATGGATGCTGAGGCATGGAAATTAGAATGATCTGGTCATTGGAAAATTATATATTTCTATTCCTGAGCTTTAACTCTTTAATGCATGACGTAGCAGATGTGCTACATAATAAACATTTTTAGAATGCGTAGGTAGCGAGTTCCTGAGGTAAATCTGTTTGTAGCAAATGTGCAACAGTCCGGTCCTAACAACTACGCGGTCGCTAGGTGCCATACATTCCTGCTGGCAATCAAATTAAAACCAATCTGGCTTCGTCGTATGGCAGAGACACGTTTTTGACGTTTTTTTATTTTCTCAAACTTCAGATTGATCCAAGGTCCAGGCTCCTCCGTATTTTTACATTTTCCTTAGTATGTACGAATTTTGACGGACCGACCGAGCTCTCTAGCATCCGTGTAGCATGGGTTAGAAAGCTGAAAATGCTGTTAGCAGCAAATGGTCAATAACATTTTTGGGCCTACTACTTACAAATTTGATTTGAAAAAATGTTTTCCACTAGACCCGTGTCCTAGCACATGAGTGAAACCTTTTTCGCCCAAAAAGAAAAAATCATGCATTAAAGGCTTTAAAATATCCTAATTTCCAGTGTTATGTTTCTTGCGTACTTTGTGCTCCTCATGATGTTCTTTCTTCGCTCTGAATTAAGATAATGTATTCCACGTAATGTATACATTTTCACACCATGAACAGGGGAAACTGACGGCAGAGCAGAAGATGGTAATGGGGAACATGGCCGACGTCTTGGGAGAGAAGGCCCATAAGATTTCCTATTTGTTTTGTACATTCGCGGACAGCAAGAGCCTCCCAGTTCTAGGATCCGTGAGTGAGGCCGGACTGAGATACAAAAAGCATTTCGCTATCAACTCCTCCTCCTACTTCGCCGAGGAGGAGGAAGAAACTCATTCCACCGACGAGGATGAGGAAATAACAAAAAAGGGGAAAATTGTATGCATCAACGAATTGCTATGGAAGATGACGACAGACAGCATTCGAGAATTCCTTGAGGATATTCAGAATAATGCACCAATACTGATCATAGTTCCACGTGAGTCCGTTGCATCGACAACCCTTACATCTTATATTGAAACTCAAAGTGTCTGCAGGAGATTAACTTTAAATGGATTTGGAATATAGGCGATACACTCTGGGACCATTATTGGAGGACATGCCATATTTTCTGGAAATGGATTTTGAGAAAATCGGCTCAGAGGTTTGTTTCCTCTTCTTCCTGATTTTTATCTTATAGCGAGTGATTGGATTACTACCCTGGCGTATTTCCTTCCCTGTATGACCCGTCTTGTGGCATCTAATATAAAGGGTTGCCCAAAATAAGTGATGCACTTGAAATTTAGCAATATACTACGTAAGCTTCAATGGACTCAAATTTAATGCGATATCCCTTACTGGAATTCATATTCAGATTTGATGCGCGATATAAAATATGGCCATACAGGGGTGCTTAGCTCGGAATGTACATGGCAAAAATATAAATTATATGAGGGAGACTGTATTTGGAAACCATTCATTATGCATTGGCCATTCTTAATAGATTGACTGCCACGAAGCGCACCAGTGCGCCTCACTGAATGGGAAAATCAATAGGCTTGCATTGCCGTGGCGGTCAACGTGTTAATGAATATACAGTACACGGTTCATATAGAAGCCCCTCGTATGGTGGTTAGTTGCAGTGTAGTTGCTAAGATTCCTTTAGCACAGGTCAATTGTGTGATATGTGCATTCATAAATGTTTGTTCTGGAGTTAAGAGTCCTATCTCTTCTAAGTTTGACCCTCCTGCTATTAATCTGAGTCATCACCTCGATGGGTGTGCATACTCTACTTTTTTATTGAAGTTCAATACACTCTTCCTTTTGACCGATATTTGGATGTTGTAAGTGTTGAGAGAATGTATTGAAAGATCATATGATTCATCTATAATGCCATCTTTTCTTGAACAGGTCACGTGTGCTGCCTTTGAAGGAGTTATGTGCCACCTTCTGCGTTGCTGCAGGTTTGCTTGCCTGGAATTTTTGTCAAATTTCTCACAAATTGGTCGAAATATGACCACGAGATATGAACGAATTTCAGCATACTTTTTATGTAAACTTGAATATCCACTCCGAGTCAACGGAAAATTCCAATGAAATTATAAACAAATGGATACAGAGTATACCATACCAGCATCTGAATGAGTTCAGATTCTCAGGACAGAAAACTCTTCAGAGAGAGAAAAGTCTCTCTTCAAACCTGTCTTCATGATAAAAGATACGAGGGGTGAACTGACCTGAAAATTCTGAGCCTAAGTAGGAATGGCTTTTTATTTGATATTCATATTTTAGGATTTTTCGACATAGTCCCCCTTGACATCGACGCATTTGGTCCAACGACGCTGCAAGTCCATTATACCTTTCCGATATATTGATGTAAAATTAACATAAACATAACATAAACAAACAACATAAACATAACATAAACGAGGCGTTCATTTGGAGCTTTTGAGCTATTCCGTGCATGAATTTCTCTTTAGACTGTGTTTTGAATGCTGTAACGTTTCTCGGATAAGAGTCAGAGAGATTCCAGTAAGAATGCTAGAAGCTGGCTAACCTAAAATAATATATAAAGAGTGTGCTCAAAACAGCATTGCAAGAGGAATACAAGAGTGGAAGCATTGTGTCCATCCTGCGAAAACTACATGAGTGGATCTCCTTCACCATCGCTCTCTTTCCAAGGTGTCTCACTTCTTTCTTGTCTTAGCTCTATTTTGTGCGAAAATATAGGATTACTGTTAATCACCCTCATGTTTTTCCCCCAGGCCTCTTAAGGCGCCCTTTGAGATCGCCTACCGATGTTGCATTCGTACATCGTGCCTGTTTCAGCGTCTCCCGCTTGTGTGGTGAGAACATGCTGGAAAGTGTATCTCACTCTCCTCCCAGTTCCTTTACGTGAGAAAAATAGAATTCTATTAATATCCTTCAATACGCTGTTCGCAGGTATCTTCTGTGGCCTTTTGGCATTGTCTACCGATATTGCATTCGTGTCCCGTTCCTGTTCATGGGTCGAACGTTCATGAGGTGAGGACATGTTGGTAGTTGCTCTCTTCTCAGGAGAGGTGTCGACAGCCGGATCAAAACAAAAGAAATTAATCCGACGAAGCTTCTTCAATTTATATTAACTATTGCCCACCTATCACATTCTAGTGCTTTGCACAAATTTGTTGCTTCTAAAGTAGTCCTCAGATTCAGCAACTAAGGGCCCTCTTGGATAAATTTTTGGAATGTGATGTTTCAGCACGGTTTCTCTGATCTTCCCCGGAATTCGTATTAGACTGAATGAATCATGTTACCTAATTTTTCAATTGATCGTCCAATATCTGTCATATATTTGCTTTTTCCTATCACTCTTATTAGCTTTGCTGCCCCTTGACTTTTTTCTATGAGAATGTGAGTTCGAATTCCAACGGTGCTGTTGGATTTCCCGCTTGGGTTTCCCTACTCAACTACCTGTATTTATAACTTTGATAATGAGGCCTCATAAGCTGCCTTCGTAAAGAGGAATGAAAAAAATGTTAATACTACCGAATTTTTCCTGTCAACTTCTACTTACCGCTCTATGAAGACCCTATATAATTTTAATCTATGGTGCTCAAATTTGTAAGATCGTGGAATTAGTCTTGGTGCCATGCACCAGCTGTTCGTGAACCTTTTTATTTTCCAAACCGAATTTTTCATTTCAATAATTATCTGATTCAAGACCGTCAAGAGTAATCTAATTTCCATAACCATTAACAAAAACATAACGTTATTGCCTGTTTCGTTAATTGCCTACTCTATTTTGTTTCCAGGGCCTTGACAAATATCTCGAGTCCATTCAAGATTGCAGTCCTGCAAGAAAATTTACTCCATCAGAGGTACGCCTGCCTCGGCTTTGTTAATTCCTCTACTGAAATATTCCAGGTACATCCTGATATTCTTGCCTGAAATTGTATACTATGTGATTTGTAAATAAATGATACATTGATTAGGACCGAATCCTCATTATCGTCTGATTCTCCCTATAATATTTCACACTAGTGTAAAAGCCCGTGCGCGCTGAAATGAGTAGAATCAGAGCATATCGTCCTAGTCTTTTTGCTTTCTCTAAGTCAGCTTTACCGTTTCTGGTAGAAGCATGCGAAGCAGCATTTGTGAATGTCGTCATGGAGTTTCATCCATTGACTGTGACTCCAAAACTTTTCCCTTTCTCGCACGGTCAGTGGACCACCCTTCCCCCCCCCCCCCACCACGAAGAGTTTACCCTACTCCAACTTTTTCGCGGCATTTTTAGAACACCAAATTTGAAAGTAATAGCATGCAGCACTAAATGCTGTAAATTTACGTGAAGCACTGTCGTAAACCGTCGACTGGACTGGTAACGCGACAGACTATGACATGTGATCCTTGTCAGCAGCTACCATAACAACAACTTCCGTAGCGAACAGTGCCTAGTTCTCTAATTTTTGGGTGTGAGCACTTCGCCGGGGAAGGCATTTAGTACAATGCTATTCTTATTACCGAAATTACGCAGCATGACGACATAATGGTAAGGCTTATTAAAATTCCAACCCAATAACTATCGCCACCAGGTTATAAGCTTTCGAATGACACACATAGCATTCAAATGAGACACAACAAACGAATTTGGAACTCTCAGGAATCATATGGACGGCAGGAGAATGGTTCCCGTCCAAGGAGACTCTCTATTTCATTTTTGTGCAACATCCAGTGAGTTCCGTCACATAGCATTCTAAAGCGACCCAATTTTTTTAATTTCAAGCAAATACGATTTCAATCAATCACCAGGGGAAGCGTTCCGTCATTAGGAAGATCCCAATCGCCTGTTTGGAAATGTTCAGCAAGTTCCGCTTTGTAGCCTTAAAGTGAGACCCGTCGTTCTAAAATAAAAACGCCCGGGTAGAATAGGGAAACATTAAAGCTTGGGCAGGACGTGGATCGGCTCGATAGGATCGATTTCACCTGTGCATAAGTCGACAACGTGCGAGGTTGACAATCACGTTTCCGGTTGGGTGCGAGCGAATGCGCAATCTGAGTTATGAAACTCAGAGGACAAAGCGGGCTATGGACCGGTCCGATCGGCAATCCCGTTTCATGTCGAGTGCAATTCATGATGTGTGAGCACATATGCCGGGAAGGCGTTCAGTATAATGCTATTCTTATTCCAAAAATGTAGCCTCATTACATGAAAATGATTCGACTTTTTAAATTGTAATCGCCTCCCGTCAAAAGCTTTCGATTGACATCTCACCCATGAAAATCCGTTCATCCGTGTAGGAGGAGCTTCCTCGGAGTGACATGTTGACACGAACAGATTATCCTCTAATGTATTTTTTATATGCATTTGGATGAGAGAGGGTCGGGAAAAACATTCCCATCCCTAAGAAAGAGGTTTTTCAGCTTATAGGGAAGTTTCCACGAGTTTCATATTTCCAGATACAACCGTCTTGCACGATTTCCACTGTCAAAGGCACTCTACGCCACCCTGTACTTTAACACAGAATGCCCATTATTCTAAACCGTTCCACCCGAAAATGCGTTCCTGTGCAGATCTGCGAGGTTCCCTTCGTCCCCCTTGGGGGAAATACGTCATCAGAGTCCCGGAGTATCAAGCTTAGACCTAAGCGGGCTGCGGGCCGGCCACGTCAGTTCGACGCGATTCGCGGTTCGGAGCGGCAAAGCTCGGTCGACGATCGCGTTCCGGGTCGGGTGCGGGCCACGATTCCAATCGGGCCGATCGAATTTCAGCTCGGAAATGTGAACCCGTGCAGGCATCTGACGCGCAGAAAGACAGCTCGACACATAGAAATCACGTTCGCAGCGTACTTTTTGAACTTTTGACCCAATAAGTCTCGCTTCCAGGTCATGAGCTTTCGATTGACACGTCAATGATTAAAAATCCGTTTATCCGTCTGGGAGGAGTTTCCCGGAATGACGGACATAATGACTGGCAAATATGTACTAATTTGTATATGGATGGCAGATCCCCTGGATTAGTTCTGAAGTTCTTTTACTTGCGGCAACATCATTCATAGATCACATTAAGGTTTAATTTCCGGTTGGAGATGAATCCTGTGCTCTCCTTTTATCTCTCACTATCACTCGGCTATATTTCAAAGTATTGATAGAAATTAGTTTTCGTAATACATATCTCAAAATGATAATACCTGAGACTAATTTGATGGATCATAAAACATGATTAAAACATAAAACATAAGATCATAAAATGCTTGAAGGATTCCTAAATCGCAATCATGCAAATCAACCCCTGCTTTTCGTCCCAACATTCGAAATAAAAAACTTAACGTAGTTGCCAAGTATAACAAGTGGACATTTTGGAGTTTGCTCTCGCTCTTCATTATCCTCGGCGTCAAGAGTTAATTAGGCAGAAATACCCGCTTTAAACAAATTTCGAGTATCACTTTTAAGCCTTCTGTTCCTTTCTTTCCCTCGTATAATGGTGTCTTGAACTATGTCAATTACATGGACATAATTTTCATCACGCAACTGCCACGGGATCAGTTAAATGTAGGGCTGTACGGATAATAACATTTTGCTGGCCATTAGTCAGATGGCCGGTATTGATCTTAGACCCATCTGCCGGTGCGGGATTTGGTGCCGATTGTGGTCGGTAGATTGAGAAGAAAGCAATATGCAATTGCATGCTGTCGTATTGGCCTATTTGGAAGCCATGTGGTACTTGTGGGCTTCCTTAAAACGATAAAGACCACATTTAGCCCTTTCCAGCCTGCCTGTCTATGAGTTCGTCAATGGGTTACTTATTATCGATTCCTGCTATTCAAAGCGTTTAGCGACACCTCTCTTGCAAAAGCACAGCACAAAAGGATGTGCTATGATTTCTCCCCTTAACCGCTATTTTCTTCCGCCGGTTCCTACTCTCGGGCTAAAATATCATTCGTTCGATATTTTGTCGGGGCGAAACGGGCAGGAGTGGCTTTGAGTGAGGCAGGAGGGCCAGCGCCTAGCCAAAAGAGCTCATGGAAAGTATTTTCGCTTTTACCCACATTTGGACTTCGGCATCGGCAGATCCCAACCCTGCTCATGGCCGATGACGCGGACGGTGCAACACCAGCGATCGATACCGGTAGTTACCGATACATCGGCAGCCCTAATGATGAGGTTTCTATTAATACTGCAATGCACTTGTAATACTTTACTTCCAGTCCGGTTACCTGACGCGATTCAGGAATCCTTCAAGCATTTTATGATCTTATGTTTTATGTTTTAATCATGTTTTATGATCCATCAAATTAGTCTCAGGTATTATCATTTTGAGATATGTATTACGAAAACTAATTTCTATCAATACTTTGAAATATAGCCGAGTGATAGTGAGAGATAAAAGGAGAGCACAGGATTCATCTCCAACCGGAAATTAAACCTTAATGTGATCTATGAATGATGTTGCCGCAAGTAAAAGAACTTCAGAACTAATCCAGGGGATCTGCCATCCATATACAAATTAGTACATATTTGCCAGTCATTATGTCCGTCATTCCGGGAAACTCCTCCCAGACGGATAAACGGATTTTTAATCATTGACGTGTCAATCGAAAGCTCATGACCTGGAAGCGAGACTTATTGGGTCAAAAGTTCAAAAAGTACGCTGCGAACGTGATTTCTATGTGTCGAGCTGTCTTTCTGCGCGTCAGATGCCTGCACGGGTTCACATTTCCGAGCTGAAATTCGATCGGCCCGATTGGAATCGTGGCCCGCACCCGACCCGGAACGCGATCGTCGACCGAGCTTTGCCGCTCCGAACCGCGAATCGCGTCGAACTGACGTGGCCGGCCCGCAGCCCGCTTAGGTCTAAGCTTGATACTCCGGGACTCTGATGACGTATTTCCCCCAAGGGGGACGAAGGGAACCTCGCAGATCTGCACAGGAACGCATTTTCGGGTGGAACGGTTTAGAATAATGGGCATTCTGTGTTAAAGTACAGGGTGGCGTAGAGTGCCTTTGACAGTGGAAATCGTGCAAGACGGTTGTATCTGGAAATATGAAACTCGTGGAAACTTCCCTATAAGCTGAAAAACCTCTTTCTTAGGGATGGGAATGTTTTTCCCGACCCTCTCTCATCCAAATGCATATAAAAAATACATTAGAGGATAATCTGTTCGTGTCAACATGTCACTCCGAGGAAGCTCCTCCTACACGGATGAACGGATTTTCATGGGTGAGATGTCAATCGAAAGCTTTTGACGGGAGGCGATTACAATTTAAAAAGTCGAATCATTTTCATGTAATGAGGCTACATTTTTGGAATAAGAATAGCATTATACTGAACGCCTTCCCGGCATATGTGCTCACACATCATGAATTGCACTCGACATGAAACGGGATTGCCGATCGGACCGGTCCATAGCCCGCTTTGTCCTCTGAGTTTCATAACTCAGATTGCGCATTCGCTCGCACCCAACCGGAAACGTGATTGTCAACCTCGCACGTTGTCGACTTATGCACAGGTGAAATCGATCCTATCGAGCCGATCCACGTCCTGCCCAAGCTTTAATGTTTCCCTATTCTACCCGGGCGTTTTTATTTTAGAACGACGGGTCTCACTTTAAGGCTACAAAGCGGAACTTGCTGAACATTTCCAAACAGGCGATTGGGATCNTTTTACCCGTAAACCAGACCGGTTGCCTGCCCGATTTTATGGATTTCCAGTATGAAAACAATTCCCCATGCTTGTCCATTATGGGTAAAATGATTTAATTGCTCTCGCTTTCACATGGATGATCATTTCATCAAAGAAATCAAGGATTCCGAAGAAATACTCCCTCCATGAATCTGTCCCTGTTTTCATGGCATTTACTCCGCTGGTGAACGCCTGGCTCTCTCTGGTATTGTCTTCTATTTCGAAGCGCAGTTGGTCTCTGCGGGGGAAAATTACTGGTAATTATTTGACTGTACTGCATGTATGTAAACTAAGTTCAAATTTACTTTGCATACAATGATCTCTTCCATGTTGAACTTCATTGCTTCAAGTTTTTTTTTTTACTGTGGTACAAGGTCAATAGAACATGCGGAGTTAATCCAAATGCACAGAATGTTTATTGACTGAATTGGGAGTTGGAACAGTAGAGAATTCATGACAACAGGCAATATTAGCCATAAATGTCCTCACTGTATGCGTGCTACTCAACAACAGAAACTGCGATGTGTCTCAGCCGTTCCCCTCCTGAAGCACCCTCCGTAGAAGATCAAGCCTTATCAAATGTGTTATCGCTGTCGAGGCAAATTAAAGACAGATATGGGGATGCGCAAACAGAGTATTTCCATTTCATGAAGTGAGGGAAGTGCAATGGCTGAGCATTGGAGAGACATCCCTTCCAGTCTTTACCCCAGTCTGTAAGGCCTAATCTCTTCTCATTCTGGAGAGTTCTCAGACGACCTTTATTTCTTATGAAGCACAAGTGATTGCTTTAAAAAGAAGTTTCCATGGGAGGGATAGTATAACAAAAGAGGTCAAAGCCAACTTTTTTCGTTTCTCGCATTAGGGTTGTACCTGCCTTCAACGATCAGACTTCACACTGAGCAACTAATTATGAGGGGAGGGAGAGAGGGAGGTCAAGTAAGTATTAATACTTGCAACTTATTATTTGCAAATTCCATGTATCCTGTGTAACTTGCCTGAAAACTTGACTATTTGCATTTTGAGATGGTAGTTGAACGAAAATCCCTTTGACTGGACAACATTGGTAGGGTAAACATGGCGTTAGTAGTTTATACCTTACGAATGTTGCAAAACTTTCAGGAAGTCCTCAGTCAAAATATTTCCTCAGGTTCAGGAACTAGTACCGTGTAATAATATTCTCAAGTTATCATTTTCTCAAGACATTGGCACTAAGTGCTCAATCTTGGAAATTGATCTGACTCTTTATTCCTCGTAGTATAAAAAACTCAAACATCACATCCAAACCTGAACCTAGTCTGAAACAGAGACAACGAAAGGAATAACGGGAATGGGTGGAATTTTAAATGTTAAGTCGCCGATGTTTGAAACAAAGTACTAGTATATATTGGAACCAAACCTCTTCAAAGGTCTCCGAAAATATACCAAGAACTGGTGGCGTCATTAGGATTCCCATTTCATGAAAGTTTGGCAAAATATTTCAAGAGAGATAAGGGAAGGTTTCCAGGCATTAAACAAGGCACGCAAATTCCCAAGATCAAAGTAACAGCAGCAGTCATACATCCCCAAAAAAAACTGCGAAAAAGATTAGAGATTATGTTCAAATTTCTTTTTTTGCCTGAAACGTGAAGTATAAGCCGTGAAAATGGCAAATTAGACAGCCCACACATAACATGCCGCTGTTTTTAACAAAAATGATGGCAACCATCAACTATTGCATATTTTCATCGCCAGGAGTGGAAGTTGCAAATGTTGCAAGAGCTCCTTGTGTTATAGTTTCCCACAGTTCGAAAATTTCATGTAAATTTTGGAATTTTTACAAACGTCTGAAGCATCATAACTTCGTAAAAATATTAATATTAAGAATCTACCCACAGTGAAATTGATATTGCTTTCTCTTTGTACTCAATTAACTCAAACCACTTCTATCACCCAATTAGGGACAGAGGTAGCAGTGTAACCCATAGAGTGTGACCCATTACTCGGAAGCCTAACTCTAAGATAGAATATCTCCGGAACCATTTGTGATAATTGTTAAAATTTGTGATTCCTCCGTAAACCAGAGAAACCAGCATGCATGAAATTTAGTAATCAAGTCCCAGCCGAACGAGCAACTTGAGTTCCTCGAAATTAGACGACTTAGCTGGAATATCTGAAGTGCTTGTGGCCCAATGGGCTTTTTTTGCCATTACCCTCATCTGCGAAAATCAAATGATAAAATATATAAATTCTCAACGATACACTTCCCAGAGAGTCAATGAAGGGGGACACAGAAAAAGAAAGATTACACGAGAAGTTGAAAGATGGTGGCACCATTGTCCAGGGAGAGGACTTCCCGACCTACCTCCTTCCATTTAAGCACATCACGGAACAGCAACACCATTTTGGCGAAGAACAACTTGGAGAAGAATGCGTGAACATCCTACTGCTCGGTTTGATCGGATCAGGTCGCTTCTAACTTCAAACTATTCCTTTTCAGGATCGAAAAAGTGAGGAATGCATTGGAAATTTAAGTCCTTTTCTTGATTGCAGGGAAATCAATGTTACTGGAGGTGGTGGGAAATTATGGCCTTGGAGTTGATTTTCAGGATCCTTATCGATTCCGGATTAAGGAGGAACCCACAGAAAAAATCACCTCACACACATTTTACACCAGGGACATCCGAAGGTTTCCCCGTCCCATTACCCTCATAGATACACCAGGCTTTCAAAAAACGACACCTGAGATGGACAGAAAGTTGGTGGAAGACATCCGCGCTTTCATCCACCAGAAGTACTTGCTGGGCGTCCACGCGGTTGTCTACGTCATTCCAGGCTCTCAGGTTGCTTCTTCTCTTTTACTCCTTACCACATCAAGTGTGTCATTCTAAACTATCTGAAGCTCTTGGATAAGTGCATACGAAGGACACTCATTAAGAAATTGCACTTCTGCAATGAAAACATCGTCTGTTGAATTGACTTTTTTACTCTTGTTAAACCATAATGCAAAGTTCTCAATGCAAAGTATCATCAATCTGAACGGTTTTAAGATTCCCTTTGTAATGGTGTTCTAGGTAAGGCTGACAATGCATCGCTCACTGAGCCTCCAACTCTTACCAAAACAACAATTTATTATTCTCATATATTTCTTTAATTTGGAGTATATATGGAAATTGTATGGTGCCAGGTCTGCAAAATATGTAGGATGATTCAGGGTCCAAACATTCTGTTACTTCAAGAAATTACGGCTTTGGATGGAGGTGTGAAGAGGAGCATTGTCATGATGAAGAAGCGCGCAGCATTGAACTGTTTTGGTCGAACTGTTGTTGAAACTTGGGCACAGAATAGAGGAAAACTTCAGTGCACTTAAGTGCAGCAGTCACTTTTTTGCTGTAATGGCCTGACCACCCTCAATAAACCTGGGGCTAAAATATAAGGATAAACCCCTTCCCCATACTTCTTTCATGCCGCACTAGAGTTGGGGAATGCTTACCTCCAAAAAGTCATACGTGGACTTGATACTAAATTGGGACACCATGTTACACATTAATGTTTCCTTGCCTGTGGTAATATCATAAATAAATTTAACATTTCCTTCATCGAACTATTTGAAATTTAAATCACAAATTCAACTGTAGTCTGCGTTTTGGCAGTCGTCAGTCCAAGGAATACTTAACTAAGGAAGACTTCTCTCACCATCAGATGTTCATGTAATATGATAGTAACTGTTCGTAATGAGACCCCTAACGCGTGTTAATTTTTTTTAGAGTGACATATGTGTCTTTCATTCAATAGGGCTCGAGCAGCTTCAATGGTTTATCCATTGGTTTCCACAAAGGGGACGACCCGACCTAGATTTATCAGAAGAATCTGTTGAATCAGTTATGAGTAATCTTCACAGGAGGAAAGACTACCCCCAGAACCCGTGACACCGCACCATAACACGTGTTTGTAGATGGAAAAAGTTTCCAGCGATACCAAATCATGAGGCATTTGTCATAATTGGACACTTCTGGAGTGTCAATGTTACTTTACATAAACTTCCGGTGAGAATAAAATGACCAAATGACTCTTTCAACTTGGCATTTAAAAAAACATGAAAAATTACTGGTCACATTTTTGAATAAGATTAAATGATTCCCGTATGAATGAATCAGGAAATCATTAAGTGTAAGCACTTATGAAGTGTCCCTCGTATAAAGCCTGCTTCAACTGGAATTCCTTCCGTAGAAGTTATTTGACGTTTTTTTGTTTGCAGCAGCAAATGATTAATGGAGGTTCCGCTCTTTGAAAAATCGAATAGGGTAAGTGCTGCGAATGTCGGCACTGGGGGTAATCTCGGCACTTTGCAATCGTCAAAATGCTGCTTCCACTACTAGTCCCCTAGGCACGGGTATTCTCAGATGGTAGGACTAATGTTGTTAACATGTGCTTGGAACAGCCATATTTGCTGTTGTTTTCTCGCAGTGGCCACTTTCTCTATGCGCACTCCGAAAATCTTGTGAAATCTTTTGATTTTGCTAAGCGTTTCCACATTTCGTTTTTTCAGGACGTTGCATTCAATTTAAATCCGTTGTAAACGACAGTGATACATAAGTTTGCTGAGATTCCCGACAGGGTGGTGCCGTCTATACCAACAAGTGTGCCGAGATTGCCAACATCTGACGCAGTTTCACCTTTAACCCGGACCCTCCAAAATGAAAGGCCTGGGGTACTCGAGGTTTGTGGCACAAGAAGGTTTATAATAAAGGTATCACCAGGTCCAAACTGAACGAGGAAGCTCCATTACGAAAACCAGCAAGTAAGGTGGAAGTGCAGAATTTGCTTAGAGTGCCGACATTCGCAGTACTAAGCCTATCAGATATTAGAGACAACTCACCAGAGTTAGAAGCTTCAGGAATGACATAAAATTTGATTATGTATTTATATTCACTACTCATGCAATTTTTACTCCCTCTTAATGACAGGCTATTCTGCTCCCGCCTATCGTAAGAATTAGGTAGGCTTGATTTTTCGTTATGAGGTCATCTCCTTTATATGAGCAGGGGAGATTGACGGCAGAACAGAAGACGCTCATGAGGAACATGGCCAAAGTCTTTGGAGATGAGGCTCAGAAGATCACCTATTTGTTTTGTACATTCGCGGACAGCAAACGCCTGCCTGTCTTACAATCCGTGAAAGAGGCTGGATTAAGATACAAGAAGCATTTCCCTATTAACAGCTCCTCTTACTTCGCAAAGGAGGAAGAGGAAGAAGAAATGGATGGGTCTTTCTACGAAGTTGAGGAGGAAAAAGGGAGAGGGAAAAAGGAAGCTTCTATTAATGAAATGCTGTGGAAAATGACCACCGCAAGTATTCGTGAATTTATTAAAGATGCTCAAAAGAATACACCTATTCAAGTTCAAGCGTTCCATTCCACGAAAGAGCCCTTCGATTTAGAATCAGGATATATTTCAACAGATTCTTGTGAGACCTTCGAATTCACATCCCTTTCATTACCAAGGCTTAAAGTTTCTTCAAGTATATCACGTATTATGAATGTCTGGATATCCTACAGATGAGGTTCGGAATGTACTGCTCCCTACTGATGTTACAACTCATGTTACCACTACACTACCGGGTCAATTCAACGGCCGCAGAGGAAGTTCTACACTTGCGTCAGCAGGAAAATTTTGGAGGTTCCAATCTTGCTGATTCACTGTAATTTATTCGGACTACAGTACACCTGATAAAGGGATTTTATTGGCGTGTTAATTCCATGTCCCGCTTCATGAGTGCTCATTCTTGTCGCAATAGTTTCCTCTCTTCTCAAGCATCCCAATAGAGCATTAGGTCCTCTAAATTAACAGGGTTTCTTCAGACAATCCCCTTTTTTTTAACTCCTGCATTTGATGCTTCGAATGAAAATCATGGATTTCATTATGGCAGTCCATGTGATGTTTCATGAACAGGAATGATACTCAAAACTGTTCGAGCAACTCAAGACAGATCAATCATAAGCCGAATCGATCTATAACACGGTGGTTGCGAATCTTGGAGATAAAAACGATTGACCTTGATCTCACCTGCAAGCAGTTCATAGATATTCTTTAGCCTTGAAGTCCCTATGCCGTCTCTGACGTGTATCCACGCTAGTGTGATCTTGGGTCATTTCTTGAGGATGGATGCGATAAGCCGCATAATAACCTCATCTGCCAGGCTTTGAAGAATGGTGAGATATTCATTTTAAAAGCTTCATGGTACGACATTAATTTTCGTGGTATGAAGCTAGGAGGAGGAATGTTCACAACCTATATCCATGACTGTTCCAAAACTTATTTTAATTTATTGATGTTCAGTTCCCATTGATTAATGTTTGACTATTTTATACTGAACAGGTATTGTGTGCTGCCTTGGAAGTTGGGTTTCATGATCTTCCTCGTTGCTGTGGGTCTGTATTCTTGGAATCTTTCCTCGAACTCCCAAATATGTTGAAATATGGCAGAATTGGAGATTTCATGAGTCCTAATTGACATTACTTCAAAATTTTATTGGAGGTTTCAGAACATCTTAGTGAAATAATACAAATAAGAGGGAAGTATACAAAAATCTAAATCAGCAAATTTTCTAACCCATTGACCCTTTATGCCCCGTGCATTCATTCTCTCTTCTGGAAAGCAGAAAATAATGAAAAATTCAATAAGTTCGCCAATCCTTGATTCTCGTATTTCCTGCAAGAGTACGAGGTCATATCTCCCAGAGGTCATATCTCCCAGAGGTCATATCTACGAGAAAGATATGTTTCAAAAAGTATTAATTAGTATCAAACGCAAATTAAAGAATCGGCTTTCAAATGCTCTTACTAACATTTCCCTCATGTTAAGGATCTCCAAGTTACATACAAGAGTTCCTGGAACCTATTGACTGCCCCTCGTATCTCGCATGCAAACAGTTTTATTCGGGGCTTTAAACTATTCCATGACTTAGGTTTTTCCTGTCTCTTTTTTGAGGATGGTGACCGAAGAATTACTAGCGTGTGAATACCTTGATTATTTGCTTCCATAAGTATTCCCTAATTTAAATTCCTGTTGGGTGATTTGCATGGCGGTCACCTTATGCCGGCGAACTCCCCTACTAGTCAGTTTCCTGAAACACTGATGTTCCGATAATGGTACAATGATAATGAAGGAAAATAATTGCGTATTCACGATCATGAGTGATAAGACTTAAGCAGTGGCAATTTCTCGTCCATACTCCATGCTCCACAACTCATATTGCCCAGAATAGAAATCTCAGCCAATTTAGTCTGTCAGAATGCTAATGAAGACCCTCCCAGAAGGTGAATGGAAGGGAGATAATAGTAACGGTAGCAGGATAATACTCTCAGTTACCAGACACAATGTGTACTTTACACGTTTATCAAAATGCTAAATGAGAACAGATCCGAAAAGTCAGGAGGATTAAGAAGCAAGTTCCTACGTGCACATTCAGTGAAGCATAAAACTGAGATGGTGTTTGTGGAAAGGGAAAAGGAAGTAATCTTCGGTCTTGGTGTTCCAAGATTATGTAGCGTGACATAAGTAGTAAAACAGAACCATGAAATTGGTCATACAAGACCGATACAGGAATTGCATCCTTATATTGATTTATTTGGTTATTTGAGGCGATACATGTGATAAAAAGGATGGGATGGGCTAATGCTTCACCATAAGGAACAGTTAGATTCGAGCTCCCATGCATTTTCATTTCACAATGTTCCTATCGAAATATCAAGGTGTCCTTTGGTCTCTGACCAAATTCGGATGTTCACAGACAAAGCAGGACGGGAATGATTATTTTTGAATCAAACAGTACGTTCAGAGTAAGTAGTAATTGAGGACTGACTATTTGGGGATTTGCCAAGAGGGAAACAGACGATTAGGGAACTCATCATCCTTGAGTTGCCTGTTGGGATATGACCGAACACCTTTCAGTAACATGATTTGGCCTTAGAATAAAGCAAGAGCATGTTGGAGAGAGGCAATCAAGGATAGGCAGCGTTCAGTTCATATGTTCAGGAGAGTTTGGTACAATACAGGGTGTAAGGACGAGAATTACCTGAGGGAAAACATTTCACCCAGCCTGCAAAAGCATCACAGATGTATCTTCTCCATCATCATTTTCCCTCGAAGGTTTCCCACTCCACTCTCAACCTCTTTCCTTACTATACAACAAAAGAGGTAACATTCATCAGCTTCCATGCTCTGTTTCAGGATGGTGGTCGCCCTCCTGAGATGCTTTCGTTGCGACTTCAGTCGGATATACCGAAAGGTCCCGCTGCTGTCCGCACAATTTAAATCCGAAGGCTCCCCTACCCCATCGTTGGGATTGAAGAGCTGGCAGGATTGAAGACTTCATCTTTTCCATGAAACACCTTATATCGTCGGTGTTTTTTTTACTAGCAATGTTCGTGTAACCTTGGGTAACTTATAATGGTCGATGCATTTCGAGAGTAAGTCGTAATAACTTCTCTTGAAGTAATGTTTTCAATCCCGTGATTGTGTCTAAAATAAAGTCAAGAAATGTGGCTCCGTAATTATTATTATCACCTCCTTTCACCCAGCAACTTTCTTAATATGCAATGCCACACAATTTGTGTGGAATTGTGTGGAAATTGCTAGACCTCATCGATGAAATTGTGGAGGTGCAGGAAGTATCCGCCCTGGAAAGGAGATTATGTCTGGAGGAGGATGGTCATATGCAGGGAAGAAACGAATTCAAGGGAAGGTAAGAGTTAGAGTAATTGTTCAGAAGACGAATTGAAATGACGGAATCATGAGGCTGTTGCATTTTTGCCATGGGCGCGTTAGGATTCCTCTAACGATGGAGTCCTCCCCCCCCCCCCCAAAAAAAAAAAAAATTCCCCGGCATAGAGTTATCTCAGTTCCTTTCAATTAAATAAATTACGGAACAGGAGCCCGCATCACCATGCTCAATGAACGCAATGTCGAGGAAAGATGGAGAGAAGATAATTTTAGGCTATTATGAAATGAAAACTAGGTTTATGACCATAACGGCCCTGTCACTGTCCATGACAGGTCTGACATATAGGGAGAAAAGCCTGCTACTATGATCTCAGAGTACTTTATCTGCAATAACATGCTGTGGCTTTTTCATGTTATTTTAAGTCATCTTTCAAATCTCATTCGTGTGCATCGAGGAGCATTCAGTAGGAGGACGGTGCAAGTGAATTGGAGTGATATACACAAAATTAGATTTTTATTAAATGCCTTCCTTCGGAGTGAGCCCTGAGAGGAAAGAGGGGCGGGGAGACGCTATGCGACATCTATGCAGCACCTTTGCCCTAGCTCATTTTCCAGGAAGGGTAGGACCCTCCCTTAACGGAATTTTCAGCATATAAATACTACTCATGGATTAGCGAAGTCGACTGGAAGCTATTAAGTGTAAATTCGTTTTCACATTTACCTTCATCATAGTCTCGATAAAGTTTCACCATGGAATTATCCACATCATCTCAACAGAAAATACGTTCCAGTAATCGACGCGAGATGGAGCCTATAGCCAATCAAGCGGTTTTCACCCAGATTCCTTAAAAAATGCAGTTCCCTATATTTTTCATACAATACCCGATCTGTTCTCACCTAAAACGTAAGGTAAGGCTTTCTAATTCCTAGATAAACACATTGAATGAGGTAATCCGGCATGAGGAGAATCCAGGAGGTCCGATGAGACATGTCGAATTCGTCTACCTCACCACGCGGCACACATGACTTGGGTTCTGATACCTCTTACGAGAATTGGAGAGCGAGTTAATCGACTTCCAAGGGTGTGTCTGGCTTTTTTCCTGCATGGGAGATAAGCCTGGTTTATCTTCCATGAAAGATTAGGCACGTAGCTCTCTTGCTGGACTGAATGAGTTGTGTCATTGAAGTACATAACTCGGATTCTGATCCAGAAAGGGAAGTTACACTCTCAAGAGGATTCCTCCATGGGATGATAAAGCTCAAAGAGTACTTTCAAACTTTACTCAATATTAATGCACTCAGGAAAATGAGGAGGCAATGCTCAAACGCTGACCATTCAACTCTGGCACAACGTGGACCATGTTTATAACGTTGACCTTGTTTCATTTCAACTTTGCGGCAACATTGAATACACATTTTACATACCGTTGTGGCAACATTGATGCGCTGAAAAAAATCAATAATCGCTTCATCGCTAAAACTGACCCGATGTTTTTATGTGGAATAGAAAGCTTCAAGCTTAGCTTCAAGCTAAAGAAAAAGGCTTAGTAAGTTGGTTCAAGTTACAAGTACACTAAATCTTTCTATTTAAAATAGAAAGAAGAAAGTAAAGAAAAAGGAATTTAAAAAAAAACTTGAGAGACTGTACTGTATATCTCACGTTATTCGCCTTTCTTGCCTTTCGCGTGTCTGGAGCCTTAACGATTCGGATCAAGCATTTTACAATTGTAAACAAATTTTTATGTAAACAACTTACTTTAAAACTATTGTTATTTTTTATTATTACCATTATGTTTCATATAAAAGTAGAATATATAATTTTTTCAATTGTATTGTCAGCCTCCATTTTAATTCTGGATAATGTTAGTTGCAGAAGGAGGAAGCATGCGTGAAAATGCACGTGTGTGCATCAATATTCATAATCCCCTAAAATCCCCAAAATATCTATTTCTATGCCATTTCAAGCGGTCACATATTCTTTCTCACCTATTTTCTTTTTCATCCACAAAATATCTGAACATGCCGTACATTTCCAACGTCGGAATTCTGATTTATGTTCCTTAGACGTAATATTTTGTGAAGAAGAAGGGGGAAATTCCTCAAATGAGACGATGTGGGCTTTCCGAATGAATCATGCCAATAAAAAGCATTCCCACGTAGCTATTGCACTTCGTTTTCATGAAGGTGCAGGGCCTACATTACGAAGAGATGGAACAAAGTCCCCGAGAGGCGCTGGAAGACGCAAGACATCGGGAGGAACGAGCGCGATTCCTTCCGCCTCTTCCTTCGACTCGTCCCTCTCCTCTACGTGATGGCCTACGATTTTCTCTTCGACTACTGTCTCCGGGCGAGCCCGACCGACTCCGTGCCTTCTGCTCTCTGTACTCTTGCCATGTGTCATGCGGCTAATGGCCAACCCTACTCCAGACAGGCAGAGACCAGTCAACTACGTGTAGAGAGATGCGACGAGCTGGTCCAGCCGATCACCCGGAGGGCAGCGGTGGATCGTCGAGGTGAGGCGGGGAGGCGGGGAGGCGTTCCTCATTCTCGGCTACGCCCTCAGTCCAAGACCTCAGCCTCGAAGTCCGGTGAGGCATCCAAGTCTCGCAGGTATCCCGTCCGGGAAAGCATTGCGAATTTCAGACGACGGACCGGACTGGACTCGCTCCGGATTCCCACGACAAATGGCAGGAGGACAGAGAGAAGAAAAAAGATGGAGATAGAAAGGAGAAAGAGATGGTGTTAGAAAAGGGAAGGATGGAAGAAGAGAAGGGAAAGAAGGAGGTAGAAAAGGGAAGGAAGGAAGAAAAGAAGGAGGAAGAAAAGGGAACGGTGGGAGAAAGTAAGAAGAACGAGAAGATGAGGCAGGAGACTAATCCCTACACGAGTTATACGGGTGAAAATTTTTTATTATTATCGAATTATCGTTTTCGTTTTGCTTCCTTTGAATGTTGACCTTAGAAGGACAGACTCAATTCGGCACCCTAACACATTCACTGCCAAAAGCGTATTAGCATGGAAAAATGCTTGCATCCAGTTACTATCGCGAACGTGGGGTAGCACCCTTTTAACCGGCAGTGACCGCGGTTATCCTGACTTGATGGGTTCAACCACAGAGGAGTTGATCCCGTTTTAACCCTTTCGGACCTGAATTAGGCCGCTATCGGAATAATATTCTTTCTTGCAATTTTTAGGTTTTTCATGTTTTTTGTAATTGAAATGTTCATGTTTCATATGTAGCTTTTACTTATTGTATAAATTTACCATTCCATACCATACATTATATATTACAACATTAATTACATAACTGAAGATTACAAAAGTAATAGTAAAACAAAATAGTAAGAGGAAAATGAATAAATACAATTTTCGTCCATGAATTAAGTCCCCTTTCAAGTCCCAGCAATTTATTAGGCAATGGGAAGAGGAGAGCGTCTTTAGGGCCGCCGAGGAGCATCCTCCGGCGGCCCAACCAAAAGCGAAGAAGAAAGCGACAAAAAAGTGAGTTCCGAATCCTCATAAATCATTTACCAGACGCTTCCTTTGCTACATTTGTTTAAAAGCAAATCCTGAACCCATGAAACTGATCGGATCGCGAAATCTAGTATTGCAGGAATCACGATGGATTTCCTAAATAAAATTTCCAATGAGTTCCCTCCAACGGTGGGAAGGGATTGATCAAGTTCGCATTGTACTGTTACGCGGATTGTGGGATTCTATTGACTTCTTCCGCGAGTTCGTGCCAGTTGCCAACCTGATTGCCTACGGCATTTGCCAATTCTGCTAATAATATCCGTTTCCAACGTGCTTTTCATTCAAGCTCTTCTAAAATGCAGTCATTGTCGTGACATACAATATCACTGAAACTAAAACTCCCACGCAATCACTTTAACATTTGCCTTCACTGGGTGATGTCCTCGTGTCATCGCAGCCTCCTTCTACTCAGAGGATGACTTCATAGTACATATTTTTCGGCAAGATGAATCGCCGAAGGAAATTTGGAAAAGACCCGTACATCGACTCGGCGACCTGGAGTCGCCGGAGGTGAGAAAACGATCTCATCCATAAATTCATTTCCGCGATATTTCTGACGACTTACTCGGACGGAATATTCGGAAGATATCTTCATATCATGAGAGTAAAGTACAAAAGTGCTAGGCATAGAAATGACATAGCTCGTATTCGCAGCGATTGTGAATATACTTTGTCTCTAAGATGAGGGCAAAACGTATCTTGAAAAGAGAGGAGAAAGACCGTCTGAAGAGGAAGAAGAGAAGGAAAAGGTTTCTGGAGAAGAAACAACGAAAAGAAAAAGAACGAGAGAAAAAGGAATGGGAGAAGTATGAACGAGGAAAGGAGAGAAAAGGGAAGTTGAAGAAGGAAGCGGATGACGAGGAAGAGGAAACTGGAAAGGAGGAGGATGGAAGTGAAAACGAAGTCGAAGAGGAGGAGGAAGAGGAGGTGGAGGAGGAAGAGGAGGAGGTGGAGGAGGAAGAGGAGGAGACAAGTGAATGATAATCTGGGAGTCAATAAACATCCACTTAGCCGCATTTTTCCTGGTCTCTCTCCATTTTTCTGTACAGAAAATCCTGAAAAAAAATCTCGAGTCTCAGAATTTTTCGTATTGGCGGGAGCAACCTAGTTTATATCCCACGTTATTCGTCTTTCTTGCCTTTCGCGTGTCTGGAGCCTTAACGATTCGGATCAAGCATTTTCCAATTGTAAAAAAAATTTTCATGTAAACAAGTTACTTTAAAACTATTGTTATTTTTTATCATTACCATTATGTTTTATATAAAAGTAGAATAAATAATTTTTTTTTTCAAATGTATTGTCAGGCTCCATTTTAATTCTGGATAATGTTAGTTGCAGAAGGAGGAAACATGCGTGAAAATGCACGTTTGTGCATAAATACTCATAATCCCCTGAAATCCGTAAAAATATCTATTTTCATGCCATTTCAAGCGTTACCATATTCTTTCCCTCCGATTAATTTTTTTTTTATCCACAAAATATCTCAATTTGCTATGAATTTCCTTCTTAACAAAGAAATGGAATGGATGAAATGGATGCCAAAATGGATTCCATTTTGAGGCATCTTTGGCCCATGCCAAAATGGATTCCGCTTCGCGATCATTTACAATTCATTGTTCCTTAGTGGGATCACGCGGCCACCATAATCAAGTATTACATCCTCGACCCAGGCTTACCGCATAACATTTTCCGGAATTCACGAGTTCAAACGAGTTTACATATTGTAAAAAAAACATTATAGAAAAAATTGACAGTGGCACCTACAATACGAACATTCCCGCGTGGATGCGTAAAACGTCCTCGCGTGTATCACATATATATAGAAATTGGCCGAATTGATGCATGCTAACTTCATGAGGACAAAAACTTTTTTTTTCGAAGCATCACGTTGTCACATTTAAAGGGATATCGGAGGCTAGTGGGAGTCCTCCATCATTCGAATCGGAACTTAAAGGTATCGAGAGGCTTCTTCCAGGGGTAGGATGAAAGGTCCAAATTATCATAAAAGGATGTTTCGATGAATATTCGAAACGGGCTTTTCTGGCGCGAACGAGGTAAAAGGGTCGTTCGCTCGAACGTCGGAATTCTGATTTATGTTCCTTAGACGTAATATTTTGTGAAGAAGGAGGGGGAAATTCCTCAAATGAGACGAAGTGGGCTTTCCGATAAAAAGTATTCCCACGTAGCTATTCCACTTCGTTTTGATGAAGGTGGAGGGCCTAGATTACGAAGAGATGGCACAAAGTCACCGAGAAGCGCTGGAAGACAGGAGACATCGGGAAGAAGGAGCGCGATACCTCCAGCCTCTTCCTTCGACTCTTCCCTCTCCTCTACTTCGTGGCTTACGGTTTTCTCTTCGACTCCTGTCTCCGGGCGAGCCCGACCGACTCCATGCTTTATGCTTTCTGTTCTCTTTGTCATGTGTCATGCGACTGATGTCCCCCATCCTCCCCCGGACAGACAGAGACTAGTCCCTTACGTGTGGAGAGACGCGACAGGCTGGTGCAGCAGATCACACGGAGGGCAGCGGTGCATCGGCGAGGTGAAGCGGGTAGGCGGGGAGGCGTTCCACATGCTCGGCGACGCCCTCTGTCCAAGACCTCAGACTCGAAGTCCGGTGAGGCATCTCACTCTCGCAGGTATCCTGTCCGGGAAAGCATAGCGAATTTCATACGACTTACCGGCCTGGACTCGCTCCGGATTCCCACGACCGGTTCTGGATTCTTCTGCTCTGCTTCGTTCGACTCATCGCCGATTTTCGGATTAAGAAAATTGTTCGGATTTAGAAAAGCCATCGTGATTCCTGCAATACTAGATTTCGCGATCCGATCGGTTTTATGGGTTCAAGATTTGCTTTTAAACAAATGTAGCAGAGGAAGCGTTTGGTGAATGATTTATCAGGATTCGGAACTCACTTTTTTGTCGCTTTCTTCTTCGCTTTTGGTTGGGCCGCCGGAGGATGCTCCTCGGCGGCCCTAAAGACCCTCTCCTCTTCCCATTGCCTAATAAATTGATGGGACTTGAATGGGGACTTAATTCACATCCATGGACGAAAACTATTGATTCATTTTCGTATTACTTTTTTGTTTTACTATTACTTTTGTAATCTTCAGTTATGTAATTAATGTTGTAATATATAATGTATGGTATGGAATGGTAAATTTATACCATAAGTAAAAACTACATATGAAAACATGAAAATTTCAATTACAAAAAACATGAAAAGCTCAAAAATGCAAGAAAGAATATTATTCCGATAGCATCCCATCAAGTCAGGATAACCGTGGTCACTGCCGGTTAAAACGGTGCTACCCTACGTTCGCGATAGTAACTGGATGCAAGCATTTTTCTATGCTAATACGCTTTTGGCAGTGAATGTGAAAGGGTGCCGAATTGAGTCTGTCCTTCAAAGCTCAACAATTAAAGGAAGCAAAACGAAAACGATAATTCGATAAGAAAAAATTTTTTCACCCGTATAACTTGTGTAGAAATTTGTCTCCTGCCTCATCTTCTCGATCTTCCTACTTTCTCCCACCGTTCCCTTTTCTTCCTCCTTCTTTTCTTTCTTCCTTCCCTTGTCTTCCTCCTTCTCTTTCTCCTTTCTATCTCCATCTTTTTTCTTCTCTCTCTCGTCCTTTTCTTTCTTCTCCTCATATTCATTATTATTATTACTAGCTGTGGTAAGCGGCGAATTTTTCATTTGTGATATTGATAATGACGTTGATGCACTTCATATTACAACAGAAAGTTTCTCCCTTAAGAAGATTTTTTTGCAATGCGTACAATTTGCGCATCCATTCTTTGTTTCCTATTATAATTATAACTGAGTCGCTTTTCGTTGGCCGATCTGACCTTCAGAACGTTGCTCAGCATCTACAGAGAGCAGCGATCCACCCGTCTAGTTTCCACCCGGAAACGAGAATCTCCCCGGGAAGGAGAAGGATTTGGAGTCCAGAAGAACTTCCGATCCCGACCATGGCTCTCGGGGCATGCGAGGGGAGATGCGATGCCCGAACGGATTGAAGTCGTCCGGATGAATGTCAGGCATGCGCCGTCCCATCTGGTTTCCAAGAGGTTTTTTTTTCTCTTTTCTCTAGTATTCCGAATCTGCTGGTACGTATTCGGTGGCCGTGCACGGGATTGTGTTCGACTTTTGGCCATGTCCACTCTTAAATTCGGCTCATTTCTTCTTAAAAATAATTTATCTTCATCCCTGAGTTGAACGATGTCATGAGCTTCCCGCTCGGCCGGTTCTTCGGCTTAATTCCAGCCACTTTACTTGAGTCAGGGCTTTTAATCGCAAAATTCTATAGATACGTATAAATTGAAACGATTAGATACGGTTTTTCCCACATACAGCTGATACATTCCTAAAATGCCAGCTAAGCGAAATCTAATCGCCTGATAACCGAAAGCTTTTTCTTTCAACTCGGATAGATTCAAACCCACGAAGGCACAAAGCCGAATTGATTCGAAAATGATTCAAAACTGAGGAAACCGTGGAACTAGGGCATTTTGAAAGAAAATGAGAAAAAGATGAGAAGGAAAGCAAAGGGAGAACGGGAGGTGGAAGGCAAAGAGAGAACGGGAGGTGGAAGGCAAAGAAGGAAACGAAGTGAAAGTCGAGGCGTTGATGAGGACGCTGGGGCTTAAGGCTGCGTCTTAAGTAAACCTGACCAGAATGGAGGTATCCGGCTATCGTCCTTCTGCGTCTGCGGACCTTCGTCCAGATTTCTCGTATTCGTTCTCGCTTTCTCCCTCACGTGGTCCAGGTTTCATGACCGGATGGAGAGACTTGCCCTATCTGACGATTATGCGGATCACGTCCATCTTCCCACGCGGGACATTCCATGGGAAATCATCACAAAACAATAATATTAACCCGACACCGACCGACAATTTCCATGAAATTTCCTGAGCTTGTAGAGGCTATTGAAAACCATATTTTAAACCATAGAGTAACCATACCATGCCGAATTAAGCTGCAATTCCACATCAAGTACTTGAAGAGATCTATCAACATGAAAGTAACAAAAAATTACTAACTTTGGGTCAAGTCACTTAAGAAATCAAAATTTTGTTCTATTCGACATAGAAGGCTGAAATTGATGTAATTTTAAAGATCTCTTCATTTCCTTTTAAAAATGACATGTAACCCTAGAACATTAAATGAAAATCAAGCTCAAAAGTCAAAGACCGGGAACATTTTTTCGGGAACTTTCAGTTCCCGAAAAAATGTTCTTTCAATTTCGTTCGAATAATACCATAAAATTCACCTTTTCTTCTGTATCATTCCTCACATTTCAAACTTGGGACTGCCACGGGATCAGGAAATACGAACAATATGGTGACAACAAGTGACCAAAATCCATGTACCAGAGAATGTACCAGAAATATCTGGATACATGCTGTACAATTTGAGCAAAATTTAGTCAGAATAACAAGAAATACCAGAAACTGATTAAAGTGTTCGAAGTTTCCAGAAAAAATGGTGGAACGTTCTGGAAAGTTTTAATGGCAACCCAAGGATCTTTCCTGGAATTTCTAGAATTGCACTTTCATTAGATTATATATACAAGTTCCGTCAGCATTGTTTTGCCAGTTTGCATCCCGATTTCACAGTTGCCATGCATCACCTTGCGATAATATGTGCTATTCCTTCTCATTGTCCCCGATTGGGAAAGGAGAGAGCTGGCTGAACCGTAAAGGACGATTGCCTATTGCAACCCACTCGACAAACCGAAAAATTAATCAAAGAAGTAGAATCAGTCTGAGAGCCCAGTCAGAGGCCAGTCTTGCATCGGATGGCTCAGAAACGAGAAAAGGATTGCAGGAAGAAAATTGCAAGAATTTTGGTTTCATTAGGAAATTAGTCGAGCAGGTTTTCACTAGGGCTGTCACGATAGCTGTTTTCAGAACATCGATGCATCGACCTGAACTATCGATAGTGTATCGATGCATCGGACCAAAAACAAAGGCTCCGGGAAGCAGGTGGCGGTCAAGTATAACGGCTGATAAACCATATGAGGGAAAAAAGGCATTCTTTTGCCCCTCAGGATCCATGAATATGAATATATTCACTCTCAGCTGCCATCATAACTGAAAGGAAACTAAGTTTGTTGACATTCTCCGGGAGCAAAGAGCAGCGCAACTTTGTAGCAATATTTCCCGTTCGGGAGAAGAGACGTTCACTGGGCACAGACGTCGCAGGAATGGCCAGGTATTTCCTAGCCATTTGCGCGAGCTTTGGGTATCTTGTAGCGTTCTCTCTCCAGAATTCCAATGGGTTGATTTCCCCATTCCTGCTGGTATCTGCCTCGTACAATCCCACTTCGTCGATCGTTGTTTGTTTATTCTCGTTCGAGGCTTTCATATGGCTGAGTAGTTTCATGAGCCCTTCAGATTTCATCACTTTAGGTGGTGGAGCGTTTGCATATCCAGGATCGTCGACGAGTTCTTCTTCCATGTCGCAGGAAGGTTCCAAGTGAAATGTGTGATGAGGAGATTCACTGACGCGTGCTTGGACAGATGAGATACACCCGTGGTCCATCGAGTAAATCTCCTTTCGCACGCGAGAAGTCACATCTTGAGTGATGACAGGAGATTCTACGAGATAATATCTAGAATTGAAACTATTTCCATTCGCGAGAATATAGCAGTAACTAGGTAAAATTAATTCACCAATGAAGCGAGGATCCAAGAAACAAGCGAACTCCAAAATTCCCCGTTCCTCTGGGCGATTGTACCTGCCAGTGAGATTTTTCAATGCCAGTCGCTTGAAATTATGAACAATCGGTGTGTCGTCCTCTTTCCTCTTCAGGTATACTTCCTGTGTACCAAATTATTAGTTTGACTCGATGATAGCTAAGCTTTTTTCTTTCAATGTCGGACGCTTACCTTTATTTCATAGAGCATTGGGAGTACGAAAGAAACTGACACGAAAGTTTCTGCTGTCAGTGTCTGGAGGGACTTAACAATAGGAGCCAATGCCTGCAATTACGAAAAGGAAGGGGAAACAGGATTTCATGAACTGCAGTCGAGGGGCTCTTCTCAAAGACTTACATCGCGAAGCTCTTGCGCTTGATACCAGTCTTCCGGATTGAAAGCCAGATCACGTACTTCCTTCTTCTTGTGCGTGGATAGGACATCATCAATTGCACGTCGGAGCTCTAGTATGCGGACAAGCATGTCGTAGGTCGAGGTCCATCTCGTGGGCACATCTTGTATCAATTCATGAGAAGGGCATTGCTTTTCTTCCCTAACCATGCGAAGCACAGACGTGTCAGTGGCACTATGCTTGAAGTGCCCAACGAGTTTTCTGCATTTCTTTAGCAGAAGGGACACCCTTGCGATCTGTGGGTCAGTTCCAGCTTTCAAAGCCAAATTAATGTTGTGCCCAAAGCAAGAGAGATTAGGAAGTCCCAACTGACAGCAAG